GTGCCGGTCGCCGGGCGATTGCGCGCTGCAGTTCTACTGTTCACTCGGACCTGGCTAGCCAGACGTATCCGACGTGCGCTGACATTCTGGTGAGGGGAAGTGGTGGCCCGAGCGGACAGACTACCAGTGCCACGACTTCGCCGCCAAGTACAACTCCTTCTACGCCTTCGACGCCTTCGACGGTCACTCCATCGGCACCACCAGCTTCGCCCGAAGAGTCTCCAGTGCCTTCCTCAACTGGAGAGAAATGCATACGTCGGCAGCGACGCCTTGACTGCCTTGCAGTCGACGCCGCGCTCACGAGCTTCCCATAGCCTTCGGAATTGCTATCGATGGTAGTAAATCAGATATCTGGGAATTAGTGATATACGAGTGCTGTAACATTGCTGCACGCATAGCCGGCGTCCAGGTCTTCCACACGATCGGCCTTAATCTGGAGCTTCCCCTGGAATCGTTTCTACACGAGGCCAGTGGGGTAGTCTGAGACCGTTAGCTCTATCCTTACTACCAGCGACAACTGACGTCGCGCTCACGCGTTTTCCGCCTTGGCAGCCGACGCTGCGCCCACAACCTGACTGCCTTGCAGTCGACGCCGCAGCCACGAGCTTCTCCATAGCCTTCGGAAATCGCTATCAATGGTAGTAAATCTGATATCTGCGAATTAGTGATATACGAGTGCTGTAACATTGCTGCACGCATAGCCGGCGTCCAGTTCATCCACACGATCGGCCTTAATCTGGAGCTTCCCCTGGAATAGTTTCTACACGAGGACAGTGGGGTAGTCCGAGACCGTTAGCTCTATCCTTAATACCAGCGACAACTGAAGTCGCGCTCACGCGTTTTCCGCCTTGGCAGCCGACGCTGCGCCCACAACCTGACTGCCTTGCAGTCGACGCCGCAGCCACGAGCTTCTCCATAGCCTTCGGAAATCGCTATCGATGGTAGTAAATCTAATATCTGCGAATTAGTGATATACGAGTGCTGTAACATTGCTGCACGCATAGCCGGCGTCCAGTTCATCCACACGATCGGCCTTAATCTGGAGCTTCCCCTGGAATCGTTTCTACACGAGGCCAGTGGGGTAGTCCGAGTCCGTTAGCTCTATCCTTACTACTAGCGACAACTGACGTCGCGCTCACGCGTTTTCCGCCTTGGCAGCCGACGCTGCGCCCACAACCTGACTGCCTTGCAGTCGACGCCGCACCCACGAGCTTCCCCATAGCGTTCGGAAATCGCTATCGATGGTAGTAAATCTGAGATCTGCTGATTAGTGATATACGAGTGATGTAACATTGCCGCACGCATAGCCGGAGTCCAGGTCATCCACACGATCGGCCTTAATCTGGAACTTCCCCTGGAATAGTTTCTACACTAGGCCAATGGGGTAGTCCGAGACCATTAGCTCTATCCTTACTACCAGCGACAACTGACGTCGCGCTCACGCGTTTTCCGCCTTTGGCAGCCGACGCTGCGCCCACAACCTGACTGCCTTGCAGTCGACGCCGCACTCACGATCTTCTCCATAGCCGTAGGAAATCGCTATCAATGGTAGTAAATCTGATATCTGCGAATTAGTGATATACGAGTGCTGTAACATCGCTGCGCGCATAGCCGGAGTCCAGGTCTTCCCCTGGATCGGCCTTAATCTGGAACTTCCCCTGGAATAGTTTCTACACTAGGCCAATGGGGTAGTCCGAGACCATTAGCTCTATCCTTACTACCAGCGACAACTGACGTCGCGCTCACGCGCTTTCCGCCTTGGCAGCCGACGCTGCGCCCACGAGCTGTCCGCCTTGCAGTCGACGCCGCACTCACGATCTTCCCCATAGCCGTAGGGAATCGCTATCAATGGTAGTAAATCTGATATCTGCGAATTAGTGATATACGAGTGCTGTAACATCGCTGCCCGCATAGCCGGCGACCAGGTCTTCGACACGATCGGCCTTAATCTGGAATTTCCCCTGGCATAGTTTCTACACTAGGCCAATGGGGTAGTCCGAGACCATTAGCTCTATCCTTACTACCAGCGACAACTGACGTCGCGCTCACGCGCTTTCTGCCTTGGCAGCCGACGCTGCGCCCACGAGCTGTCCGCCTTGCAGTCGACGCCGCAGCCACGAGCTTCTACATAGCCTTCGGAAATCGCTATCGATGGTAGTAAATCTGATATCTGCGAATTAGTGATATACGAGTGCTGTAACATTGCTGCACGCATAGCCGGCGTCCAGTTCATCCACACGATCGGCCTTAATCTGGAATTTCTCCTGGCATCGTTTCTACACGAGGACACTGGAGAAGTCTGAGACCGTTAGCTCTATCCTTACTACCAGCGACAACTGACGTCGCGCTCACGCGCTTTCCGCCTTGGCAGCCGACGCTGCGCCCACAACCTGACCGCCTTGCAGTCGACGCCGCACTCACGAGCTTCCCCATAGCCTTCGGAAATCGCTATCAATGGTAGTAAATCTGATATCTGCGAATTAGTGATATACGAGTGCTGTAACATTGCTGCACGCATAGCCGGCGTCCAGTTCATCCACACGATCGGCCTTAATCTGGAGCTTCCCCTGGAATAGTTTCTACACTAGGCCAATGGGGTAGTCTGAGACCATTAGCTCTATCCTTACTACCAGCGACAACTGACGTCGCGCTCACGCGCTTTCCGCCTTGGCAGCCCGACGCTGCGCCCACAACCTGACCGCCTTGCAGTCGACGCCGCAAACTCACGGCTCCCCCATAGCCTTCGGAAATCGCTATCAATGGTAGTAAATCTGATATCTGCGAATTAGTGATATACGAGTGCTGTAACATTGCTGCACGCATAGCCGGCGTCCAGGTCATCCACACGATCGGCCTTAATCTGGAGCTTCCCCTGGAATAGTTTCTACACGAGCACAGTGGGGTAGTCCGAGACCGTTAGCTCTATCCTTACTACCAGCGACAACTGACGTCGCGCTCACGCGTTTTCCGCCTTGGCAGCCGACGCTGCGCCCACAACCTGACTGCCTTGCATTCGACGCCGCACCCACGAGCTTCCCCATAGCCTTCGGAAATCGCTATCAATGGTAGTAAATCTGATACCTGCGAATTAGTGATATACGAGTGCTGTAACATTGCTGCACGCATAGCCGGCGTCCAGTTCATCCACACGATCGGCCTTAATCTGGAGCTTCCCCTGGAATAGTTTCTACACGAGGCCAGTGGGGAAGTCCGAGACCGTTAGCTCTATCCTTACTACTAGCGACAACTGCCGTCGCGCTCACGCGTTTTCCGCCTTGGCAGCCGACGCTGCGCCCACAACCTGACTGCCTTGCAGTCGACGCCGCACCCACGAGCTTCACCATAGCGTTCGGAAATCGCTATCGATGGTAGTAAATCTGGGATCTGCTGATTAGTGAATATACGAGTGATGTAACATTGCCGCACGCATAGCCGGAGTCCAGGTCATCCACACGATCAGCCTTAATCTGGAACTTCCCCTGGAATAGTTTCTACACTAGGCCAATGGGGTAGTCCGAGTCCGTTAGCTCTATCCTTACTACTAGCGACAACTGACGTCGCGCTCACGCGTTTTCCGCCTTGGCAGCCGTCGCTGCGCCCACAACCTGACCGCCTTGCAGTCGACGCCGCACCCACGAGCTTCCCCATAGTCTTCGGAAATCGCTATCAATGGTAGTAAATCTGATATCTGCGAATTAGTGATATACGAGTGATGTAACATTGCCGCACGCATAGCCGGCGTCCAGGTCATCCACACGGTCGGCCTTAATCTGGAACTGCCCCTGGAATCGTTTCTACACGAGGACAGTGGGGTAGTCTGAGACCGTTAGCTCTATCCTTACTACCAGCGACAACTGACGTCGCGCTCACGCGTTTTCCGCCTTGGCAGCCGACGCTGCGCCCACAACCTGATTGCCTTGCAGTCGACGCCGCAGCCACGAGCTTCCCCATAGCCTTCGGAAATCGCTATCAATGGTAGTAAATCTGATATCTGCGAATTAGTGATATACGAGTGCTGTAACATTGCTGCACGCATAGCCGGCGTCCAGTTCATCCACACGATCGGCCTTAATCTGGAGCTTCCCCTGGAATAGTTTCTACACGAGGACAGTGGGGTAGTCCGAGACCGTTAGCTCTATCCTTACTACCAGCGACAACTGACGTCGCGCTCACGCGTTTTCCGCCTTGGCAGCCGACGCTGCGCCCACAGCCTGACTGCCTTGCAGTCGACGCCGCACCCACGAGCTTCTTCATAGCCGTAGGAAATCGCTATCAATGGTAGTAAATCTGATATCTGCGAATTAGTGATATACGAGTGCTGTAACATTGCTGCACGCATAGCCGGAGTCCAGGTCTTCCACACGATCGGCCTTAATCTGGAGCTGCCCCTGGAATCGTTTCTACACGAGGACAGTGGGGTAGTCTGAGACCGTTAGCTCTATCCTTACTACCAGCGACAACTGACGTCGCGCTCACGCGCTTTCCGGCTTGGCAGCCGACGCTGCGGCCACAACCTTGACTGCTATGCAGTCGACGCCGCACCCACGAGCTTCCCCATAGCCTTCGGAAATCGCTATCGATAGTAGTAAATCTGATATCTGCTGATTAGTGATATACGAGTGATGTAACATTGCCGCACGCATAGCCGGCGTCCAGGTCTTCCACACGATCGGCCTTAATCTGGAATTTCTTCTGGAATAGTTTCTACACGAGGACAGTGGCGTAGTCGGAGACCGTTAGCTCTATCCTTACTACCAGCGACAACTGACGTAGCGCTCACGCGCTTTCCGCCTTAGCAGCCGACGCTGCGCCCACGAGCTGTCCGCCTTGCAGTCGACGCCGCAGCCACGAGCTTCCCCATAGCCTTCGGAAATCGCTATCAATGGTAGTAAATCTGAGATCTGCTGATTAGTGATATACGAGTGATGTAACATTGCCGCACGCATAGCCGGAGTCCAGGGTCTTCCACACGATCGGCCTTAATCTGGAACTTCCCCTGGAATAGGTTCTACACTAGGCCAATGGGGTAGTCCGAGACCATTAGCTCTATCCTTACTACCAGCGACAACTGACGTCGCGCTCACGCGCTTTCTGCCTTGGCAGTCGACGCCGCACTCACGAGCTTCCCCATAGCCGTAGGAAATCGCTATCAATGGTAGTAAATCTGATATCTGCGAATTAGTGATATACGAGTGCTGTAACATCGCTGCGCGCATAGCCGGAGTCCAGGTCTTCCACACGGTCGCCCTTAATCTGGAATTTCTTCTGGTATCGTTTCTACACGAGGACAGTGGGGTAGTCCGAGACCGTTAGCTCTATCCTTACTACCAGCGACAACTGACGTCGCGCTTACGCGCTTTCCGCCTTGGCAGCCGACGCTGCGCCCACAACCTGACTGCTTGCAGTCGACGCCGCACTCACGAGCTTCCCCATAGCCTTCGGAAATCGCTATCAATGGTAGTAAATCTGATATCTGCGAATTAGTGATATACGAGTGCTGTAACATCGCTGCGCGCATAGCCGGAGTCCAGGTCTTCCACACGATCGGCCTTAATCTGGAACTTCCCCTGGAATAGTTTCTACACTAGGCCAATGGGGTAGTCCGAGACCATTAGCTCTATCCTTACTACCAGCGACAACTGACGTCGCGCTCACGCGCTTTCCGGCTTGGCAGCCGACGCTGCGGCCACAACCTTGACTGCTATGCAGTCAACGCCGCACTCACAAGCTTCCCCATAGCCTTCGGAAATCGCTATCAATGGTAGTAAATCTGATATCTGCGAATTAGTGATATACGAGTGATGTAACATCGCTGCGCGCATAGCCGGAGTCCAGGTCTTCCACACGATCGGCCTTAATCTGGAACTTCCCCTGGAATCGTTTCTACACGAGGCCAATGGGGTAGTCCGAGACCATTAGCTCTATCCTTACTACCAGCGACAACTGACGTCGCGCTCACGCGCTTTCGGCTTTGGCAGCCGACGCTGCGCCCACGAGCTGTCCGCCTTGCAGTCGACGCCGCACTCACGAGCTTCCCCATAGCCTTCGGAAATCGCTATCAATGGTAGTAAATCTGATATCTGCGAATTAGTGATATACGAGTGCTGTAACATCGCTGCGCGCATAGCCGGAGTCCAGGTCTTCCACACGATCGGCCTTAATCTGGAATTTCCTTTTGGAATAGTTTCTACACGAGGACAGTGGCGTAGTCTGAGACCGTTAGCTCTATCCTTACTACCAGCGACAACTGACGTAGCGCTCACGCGCTTTCCGCCTGAGCAGCCGACGCTGCGCCCACGAGCTGTCCGCCTTGCAGTCGACGCCGCAGCCACGAGCTTCCCCATAGCCCTTCGGAAATCGCTATCAATGGTAGTAAATCGGAATATCTGCGAATAAGTGATATACGAAGTGCTGTAACATCGCTGCGCGCATAGCCGGAGTCCAGGTTCTTCCACACGATCGGCCCTTAATCTGGGAATCTCCCCTAGAAATAGTTTCTACACGAGAGCCAGTGAAGACGTCTGAGAACATTAGCTCTATCCTTACTACCAGCGACAACTGACGTCGCGCTCACGCGCTTTCCGCCTTGGCAGCCGACGCTGCGCCGACAACCTGCCCGCCTTGCAGTCGACGCCGCACTCACGAGCTTCCCCATAGCCTTCGGAAATCGCTATCAATGGTAGTAAATCTGATATCTGCGAATTAGTGATAAACGAGTGCTGTAACATCGCTGCACGCATAGCCGGAGTCCAGGTCTTCCACACGATCGGCCTTAATCTGGAATTTCTCCTGGAATAGTTTCTACACGAGGACAACGGAGAAGTCTAAGACCGTTAGCGCTATCCTTACTACCAGCGACAACTGACGTCGCGCTCACGCGCTTTCCGCCTTGGCAGCCGACGCCGCGCCCACGAGCTGTCCGCCTTGCAGTCGACGCCACACTCACGAGCTTCCCCATAGCCTTCGGAAATCGCTATCAATGGTAGTAAATCGGATATCTGCGCATTAGTGCTATACGAGTGCTGTAACATCGCTGCACGCATAGCCAGCGTCCCGTTCATCCACACGATCGGCCTTAATCTGGAACTTCCCCTGGAATAGTTTCTACACGAGGACAACGGAGAAGTCTAAGACCGTTAGCGCTATCCTTACTACCAGCGACAACTGACGTCGCGCTCACGCGCTTTCCGCCTTGGCAGCCGACGCTGCGCCCACGAGCTGTCCGCCTTGCAGTCGACGCCACACTCACGAGCTTCCCCATAGCCTTCGGAAATCGCTATCAATGGTAGTAAATCGGATATCTGCGCATTAGTGCTATACGAGTGCTGTAACATCGCTGCACGCATAGCCGGAGCACAAGTCATCCACACGGTCGCCCTTAATCTGGAACTTTCCCTGGACTAGTTTCTACAAGAGGACAGTGAGAGAAGTCTGAGACCGTTAGCTCTCCTCTTTACTAGCAGCGACAACTGACGTCGCGCTCACGCGGCTTTCCGCCTTGGCAGCCGACGCCGCGCCCACGAGCTGTCCGCCTTGGAGTCGACGCCACACTCACGAGCTTCCCCGTAGCCTTCGGAAATCGCTATCAATGGTAGTAAATCGGATATCTGCGCATTAGTGCTATACGAGTGCTGTAACATCGCTGCACGCATAGCCGGAGCACAAGTCATCCACACGGTCGCCCTTAATCTGGAACTTTCCCTGGACTAGTTTCTACAAGAGGACAGTGGAGACGTCTGAGACCGTTAGCTCTATCCTTACTACCAGCGACAACTGACGTCGCGCTCACGCGTTTTCCGCCTTGGCAGCCGACGCTGCGCCCACGAGCTGTCCGCCTTGCAGTCGACGCCGCACTCACGAGCTTCCCCATAGCCTTCGGAAATCGCTATCAATGGTACTAAATCTGATATCTGCGAATTAGCGATATACGAGTGCTGTAACATCGCTGCGCGCATAGCCGGAGTCCAGGTCTTCCCCTCGATCGGCCTTAATCTGGAACTTCCCCTGGAATAGTTTCTACACTAGGCCAATGGGGTAGTCCGAGACCATTAGCTCTATCCTTACTACCAGCGACAACTGACGTCGCGCTCACGCGCTTTCTGCCTTGGCAGCCGACGCTGCGCCCACGAGCTGTCCGCCTTGCAGTCGACGCCGCACTCACGAGCTTCCCCATAGCCTTCGGAAATCGCTATCAATGGTAGTAAATCTGATATCTGCGAATTAGTGATATACGAGTGCTGTAACATCGCTGCGCGCATAGCCGGAGTCCAGGTCTTCCACACGATCGGCCTTAATCTGGAACTTCCCCTGGAATCGTTTCTACACGAGGCCAGTGGGGTAGTCCGAGCCCGTGAGCTCTATCCTTACTACCAGCGACAACTGACGTCGCGCTCACGCGCTTTCCGCCTTGGCAGCCGACGCTGCGCCCACAACCTGACTGCCTTGCAGTCGACGCCGCGCTCACGAGCTTCTCCATAGCCGTAGGAAATCGCTATCAATGGTAGTAAATCTGATATCTGCGAATTAGTGATATACGAGTGCTGTAACATCGCTGCGCGCATAGCCGGCGTCCAGTTCATCCACACGATCGGCCTTAATCTGGAGCTTCCCCTGGAATCGTTTCTACACGAGGCCAGTGGGGTAGTCTGAGACCGTTAGCTCTATCCTTACTACCAGCGACAACTGACGTCGCGCTCACGCGTTTTCCGCCTTGGCAGCCGACGCTGCGCCCACAACCTGACTGCCTTGCAGTCGACGCCGCACCCACGAGCTTCCCCATAGCCTTCGGAAATCGCTATCAATGGTAGTAAATCTGATATCTGCGAATTAGTGATATACGAGTGCTGTAACATTGCTGCACGCATAGCCGGAGTCCAGTTCATCCACACGATCGGCCTTAATCTGGAGCTTCCCCTGGAATCGTTTCTACACGAGGCCAGTGGGGTAGTCCGAGACCGTTAGCTCTATCCTTACTACCAGCGACAACTGACGTCGCGCTCACGCGCTTTCCGCCTTGGCAGCCGACGCTGCGCCCACGAGCTGTCTGCCTTGCAGTCGACGCCGCACTCACGAGCTTCCCCATAGCCTTCGGAAATCGCTATCGATGGTAGTAAATCTGATATCTGCGAATTAGTGATATACGAGTGCTGTAACATTGCTGCACGCATAGCCAGCGTCCAGTTCATCCACACGATCGGCCTTAATCTGGAACTTCCCCTGGAATAGTTTCTACACGAGGACACTGGAGAAGTCTGAGACCGTTAGCTCTATCCTTACTACCAGCGACAACTGACGTCGCGCTCACGCGCTTTCCGCCTTGGCAGCCGACGCTGCGCCCACAACCTGACTGCCTTGCAGTCGACGCCGCACCCACGAGCTTCTCCATAGCCTTCGGAAATCGCTATCAATGGTAGTAAATCTAATATCTGCGAATTAGTGATATACGAGTGCTGTAACATTGCTGCACGCATAGCCAGCGTCCAGTTCATCCACACGATCGGCCTTAATCTGGAACTTCCCCTGGCATCGTTTCTACACGAGGACAACGGAGAAGTCTAAGACCGTTAGCTCTATCCTTACTACCAGCGACCAACTGACGTCGCGCTCACGCGCTTTCCGGCTTGGCAGCCGACGCTGCGCCCACGAGCTGTCCGCCTTGCAGTCGACGTCGCACTCACGAGCTTCTCCATAGCCTTCGGAAATCGCTATCAATGGTAGTAAATCTGATATCTGCGCATTAGTGCTATACGAGTGCTGTAACATTGCTGCACGCATAGCCAGCGTCCAGTTCATTCTACCACGATCGGCCCTTATTCTGGAGCATCTCCTCGCAGTCGTTGTCTACCACGAGGACAACTGGAGAAGTCTGAGACGGTTAGTTTCTATCCTTTACTTACTAAGCGACAACTGAAGTCGCCGCTCACGCG